CTATATCAGTGACTCGCTAACACCTTGACAAACCCTTCGAGGTTTTTGGGTACGGCACTTTATTATACTGTGTATCGAATAAGTACATTGAATAAATAATAATAAATCATGTCGACATCCACGCAGTACTCGTTGGAAATCATCGTGGTACTTTCTTATTGAATTCGTCCCGATGGGCCAACTGACCTATTTGATTCTCATTTATCATCCCTCTCTAGTGTCCTGTCAGTATACACCGATAGCGTGGGCGGGGACACTATTTCATTTACACACTTTAAAAAATCGCTATAAAATGTCTCTATATAACCTAAAATCTGCTAGGTTTGCAAATATATTGCATTTTATTGGTCAACAAAGTTTTAATTAATAAATTCTTGCATTATATGAGCATGTTATTAAAATTACATATTTAAAGTTCCAATTAGCTGGTTTAATTTGAGACCAGCATTAAAATTATATTCGGCTTGGTAGAGCATTATGAAATTTAACTAGTTGCCCACCCTATGTTCATTTCATTATGCTTGTTATAATAGGCTATTACAGTGTTCATATTGTAATAGCAAAGTTTAATAACAGCTGTCAAAACTAAGAGACCAGTGTGATATACATAGTCGAAATGGAGGTAGGTGTGAAGCGAAAACTGATTTATGACGTAATACACTGAATGGCTGGGCTAATTTCTCTTGTTGAGTTGTTTTCACTTGGTTGTAATCGTAGAGTGAATAAACAGTATGATGTTTAAGAGTCGGCACTGCTTTTATATCGACGAAACTGGAAAATATATCAAATGTATTTTTTTTTTATGAGTGAAAATGGTAAAGTAACCCTGCCTGCGCTAACGGGATACGCTGACGGAGCACCAGTGAAGGGTGATAGATGAGGATGACAACAGGCCAGATAGCCCATCATGATGAATTCATCAGGAATAAATAATGATAGTTTCCAGGGGGAACCGCGTGGAGGTCGACCTGGTTGGGTATATTGCTAGCAATGGGATTATCAGTCTCCATTACTAACAATCCCTTCCCCCCAAATATATCAAATGTATTTTATAACATATATATTTTGTGTGATTAATTTCTCAAAGACTTACATTATTTAAATTGTCGGCCAGCGGATACCCTTAGGGGTCTAATATTATTGGAAATGATATAAAAAAGTTAAGTGGTCCTATGCCACTACATCATCATCATATCAGCCGTTCACTGTCCATTGCTAAAGATAGGCCTGTCCCTATTGGAGAGTTTTGCCAGTAGTTGCCACTCTTGGCAGACGGGTTGGCAAACGCTATTGGGCTTTGGTAATGTTTAAAGAAGAACGCTGCCGTCCATTCCTCTATCATTAAATCCTTTTGTTGGCTCTTATACCACCCACTTGAAAGAAAGGGATGGCCCATTCTGTGCCAGGATCACATAGCCCATTGTTTACAATGCAGTATCTAAATAAGTTATTATATTTATACATGTATTTAAGAAATAATTAATTAAACAGTTATATTTGTAACTGAATAAAAATTCAAGCACATATTAGGAACGGCCTATAAAGCGGATTGGACCATAAATACATTTGGTCGCCATTTTATGTCGCACGTAATGAAATGGCCGCTGTGCGATCGTAATTCTCATTTGTAGTGCTTTGTTGTATTCCTATTTATAAGGCGAATAGGTGATAATAAACTGTCTCTAGGGGTGCTTTGTTATATTTTCTAACAAAATAAATTGTTTAATAAATTTGGACTAAGTACTTTTCCTTGAAAATTTTTATTATTATTATTTCAGCCGTTAATTGGCCACTGCTGAACGTAAGCCTTCCCCATAAGGGGAGTTTTGCCAGTAGTTGCCACGTTTGGCAGGCGGGTTGGCAACCGCAGTTAGACTTTTAGAGATGTTTTAAGAGGTCGCTGCTGCCCATCCCTCCACCATAAGCTCTCTTAGTCTCCTCTTACGACACCCACGGGAAAGAAAGGGGTGGTTTATTCTATGTCGGGTCCTACACGGCCTTAAAAATTTGTAAGGGGATAATTAGAGGTTTACTCGTAGCGATTATTAGTCGGTGGCATTTTAGAATTTATTACAAAAAACAGCGACTTGAATCGAGGTATAGTAAAATTTATATGCAACCAATTGCATCCAAATGTAAATCAAGTAGGAATAAATATAAAGTGAATGGGTCAGTTAGCGATTTAATAACTTTATTTAGGACGGAGAAGGAGAGTTATGAACTAGAAGAACTAGAAGAGAGGCTACGTTTTTTTCCTGCCAACCATAAGAAGAAGTGGAAGAAGTCACGGGCAAATAATTAACAAAATCGGTAAATTTATCGTGTAACATACACACAAAAATCATATAAGCGAATTCAAAACCTTTATTTGAGACGGTGCTGAATGAATTTCTCAACTATGCATATATATACACACACTATATATATATGATATAGAGAACTGTGGAATAATATATTCTATATCTGTAATATATCTTATCATAAAATGATTTATTATTATAATATCATAAAGGATTTCAATCTTTGCAATGTAATGGACAATTACATAAACTACTCAACCGGTATTAAAAATTCTTTCACCAATAGAAAGCTATTTTATCAGCGAGTAACATAAACTATATAATATTATTTTCAATTATTCTATGTACCCATAAGAAGCCAGGCCGAATTACTAGTATATACGAGTATACTACTCTTAGATTATATAGATAGAGTGAGATAAAGCGTATCAACTTTTTCATACAATTTTGCATGATAAATAGTTATGAGTGATTCCTTTATAATTACTAAATATGTTTATCTCATAATTTTTGCATCTTTTTAATGAGTTTAAATAAAAAAGAAACTCATTTTATTAAATAATTAAAATATAGAGACGTCACACAGTGTGCGTAAGCATATAGAACACTGATGAGAAAACAAATCAACAAAAAGTTGAGTCGTTTTTGAGACTCAACTTTTTGTTGATGTTCTATCTATATAATTTAATATATAATATTTATATATATATATATTCATACAACTTAGAATGGCAAACAAGCTGACGGCCCACCTGATGGAAAGTGGTAACCGTCGCCTATAGACATGAGCAGTGCCATGGACATAACAGAGTATACTGTTTTGCCCATGATACCCCCCATGCGTTGCCATTCCTGAGGACTCAGGTGTTATTCCTCTGTACCCAGTAAATATTTTTAAACGACGCATAATTTTGATCATTTCTTGTCCTTAAATCGATAGTTTTTGTGTAGTCGCCAATTAGTACATATGACTGTCCGATATAGGGTGTGACCGAGTAATTTTATGGCACAGTCCCTGAGGAATATTGGATTACAGCAATATAACACGCCCAGTTTCATCAGGCAGTCGTAAACCGCCACTTTTATTGGCAAAGACCAATATTAATACAGCCATATAAAAATACAGACATAAGATGATAGTGTCGGAATTACGTCATTTCAGACGATTCCATCTCGTTACTCGGATGCTTATCGAGTTTTAATCGATAAAGAGGGACTTTTAGCAGATTCTTGCAATGTATCACTTGCGGTTTTGTATTTTTAATCGATTTCAAACGTCTAATTTAAAACTACAAATCGAATTTAAGAAAGGACCGGCAGGTCTATTCTAGAATCATTTTTGTAATACGTAATTTTGTTGTAATAATTTTGTACTGCATTCATGAAACAACAATTACGAAATAAATTAGAATTGGGGTCGGTTTGCAATAGTTTCCAATGGCAAGTTACACTAATATGGATCTATCAGAACAATATGGAAATGTTATATTATGGCGTAGTATACATGTATAGTATGTTGTAATTCAAGAGTGTGAAATGTCGCAATTCCAATATAAAACTATTTCAATTTATTTTCACAGTAACCCCACAGATTCTTAATTCGGTGGTTTTTTTTTATGTTTGTCAACTCATATCTCCGTAAATATATAGTATAAACCGATTTGGAAAATTCTTCATTTTTTCTCTTAAATAGTTGTTCTTTTTTTAAGTGTTCGGTTTCTACTGTTGTTTTGGTTTATAAATTAGATTGTTCTTTTTTTTTATCGATTCGAGTTTGTCTACTTCGAGTTTGTCTAACACTAAATGTATCAGAATACAAATTATGTTCTACAAAAGTCAATATTTTTTTTTGTGGAAAGTAGTATCGAATCAAATTTTGTGAAGCAGTTGTGTTTGCATGGCTGTGTTTCGGTTTGAAGGGTGGGATATGGCGTGAATTTACAGGGTACAGAGGAATAACACCTGAGTCCTCAGGAATGGCAACGCATGGGGAGTATCATGGGCGAAACGGTATACTCTGTTATGTCCATGGTACTGCTCATGTCTATAGGCGACGGTTACCACTTTCCATCAGGTGGGCCGTCAGCTTGTTTGTCATTCTAAGTTGTATAAAAAAAAAGAATCGATTTTTATAGTCACTTTCCATTATGTGGATCAATATCTATAAATAAACATATAAAAAATAATATAAACTTAGCATTTTTGGTAGAAAAAAATCTGTTATTGCATAAATGTGAATAAAAATGAAAGCCACTCGTTTTCACAATTTTTTAATAAGTTATATAATATGTTATGGACCTAACATTTTATTTAACGCCATTCGCCATGATTCGTAGTCTGCTAGATAACCTGATTTCCAGTCAACTTACAGAATAAAATCGACACTGTCAAATGATAACATACAAAATTCTCTAATTATATTATATCTGCAATATCCATACAAATTTCAAACATAATATTTTAATATATAATAAAAAATGTTTTATAGATTTACTAATAATTTTTGATTTACAATTTAAGTAAGTATATAAAGTTAACAACTACAGTTTTTACACATCAATCTATCTATTTTAGTCTTATTTTTTATTTACAAAAGAATTTTATATTTATATATATATATATATATATATATATATATATATATATATATATATATATATATATATATATATATATATATATATATATATATATATAATTTTATATATGTAAAAGCTCTACACACATTGATAACACAAAATGTACACTAAGCAATAATTAATATATTTACAAAATACAAAAATAAAAATTTTATAAAAAAAATGATACTTTTCCTAAATGGGGGCTCACCATTTATAGGCCGTGTGATCAGCTAATCAATTAGAAATATAAATTATATAACTAACTTACAACATATATAAGTATAATATAACACGATGATCAGGTAACCGCACAGCCACGAAAAAGTACCGAAATCATTATAAAATATATTGAGAACGACAACGGAAGCAATAAACAATATAACTTTAGTGTAATTAATATTACAATTCGTTTTTTTACATGTAAAAATTTGTGCAAAGGCAGTCCGCCTTGTTGCAAAATGTAAATATCAAATATATTGATATGTCTACATTTATATAAATAGACGAATATTATATATATAATATATATATATAACTTACAATATACATTAATTGTAATTATTTACAATACAACATAGTTTATAGTACAGTTTCGTTCGTGCACGTCCTAGGTCCGTTCACAAGTGAATATCTGCTAGATCCGCCATTTTTCCTACTAGTGACTGCGCCCCTAATGAATAACTCTTTGAATGTCTCCCGAAACTGCCTCGACATGCCGCAGTATATAGCAAAATTTATTGGGTAGGAGACTATAATGAAGAAATTGGTGATTAATATTAATATATTGGCGATATGGTAGTCTAAAATCTCGACTATTGTACTCGATATTATGTGTAAGATAGTTACTACGGCTACCGGTATTTCTACCAAAAGGAAAACGGTAACTACAACAATCAACATTAGTGTTGTACAATTGGAATCTCTTAACTTTTTGCATTCAGACTTTCGGTTTTCCTTGAAGAGTTTCTGCCGGTTTATTTGGGCTGTTCTCATAGCTCTGAACAGTAGGACGTTGAGGACGACTAGGGAGGTGCAGGGTATTAGGTGGACGAATAGAACTCTGAAGCCAAAATAGGTGATGAAGTACGCGTCCATTGATAGTGTTTGAACCCATGGCGACATTTCCATCTGAAAAAGAAATTAAAAAGACACCATTATACATTTTTTTTTAAACAATCATCATTATCATCATCTTCCTACCCTTATCCCAGTTATTATTTGGGGTCGGCGTAATATGTTTTTATCCATATTACAAAAAGATTTGGCTTTTAGTTTTACGACCGGCTGCCTGTCTCAAGTCTACCCTCTTTGGGAACCCTCTTTTTTATACAATGAAGGAGGCAAATAAGCATACAGTCCGTCTGATGGTAAATGGTCATAATGGACGTCTGTAACACTAGAGGTGTCAATTGCGCGTTGCCGATCTTGAAGAAACCTTAATCCTTTTTGAAGGACCCCATACTGTAGTCTTTAGGGAAAACCTTTTGGCAAGGCGTCCATCTTGTGAAAATGAACTAACATATTTTTATTAGGGGGGGGGGGGGGGAAGCGATTGTTAGTAATAGGGAGGTTAGTTGTCATTGCTATTAATTATTAATTATTATTAGGTCGACCTCGACGCGGTTCCCCCTGGAAACTATTGTGACTAATTAAACGTCGAATTCGTCTCGATGGGCTAACGAACTTGCTTTTTTATCCTCACTAATCAACTTTCACTGGTGCCCAGCCAGTGTATACCGATAGCGCGGGCGGGGTTACCATTTCATTAAAAAAAAAAATTAACTAATATTATTTTATAATCGGATTGTTTTCACCGTATCAACACGTTATCATAGTCTGTTATTAATAAGGATCATATTAGCAGGACATATAGTAATACTGTTATGACAATTTGTAATCTTATTTCAGCTTCCAAAATTTAAATCATATTTTTCTTTGTTTATCTCGCAATTTCTATTTAACCGCTTCTCTGTTCAAGCATCTTAATTAAATTACATTTTGTTTATATTTATTATTCATGGATTCTAGCAACACCCGGGAAACTTATGAAAGTCAAGCGGAGAGAATATTAAATTTTCCGGGTATATTGTAGACGTTGCATTAACCCAATGCATAGAATTATATCATGAAATGCTTCATTTAGTTGCGACGATTATGCCAGACAGGAATCTTGTTAGCGAGTTTCGAGTTTTGCCTTTTTTATTTTTATATTCTCTTGATGTTTACCTATTTGTAGAACTTATAAAGTATTGCAAAATGCATTATTAATGGGTGAATCTTAAACTATATACTTCTTTCGAACTAAAATATCATTAAAAATACTTGGGTATTTTTATTCAGCCATTCTCAAGGGATGATCTAATAGATCCTTCTTCGAATCCCGTTGCATTTTTTTCCTACCATAAAAGTTGAATCGTAATATTATGAAAACTAGCTATTTTCCGCGGCGTTGCCCGTGTGAATTATGATTAAAGTATCAGTGTGTTTATATAGTATATTATGATCCAACTGTGTACCAAATATCGCAAATCAGTGCAGTCGTTAATGCGTGATTGAGTAACAAACATCCAAACATTTATTATACTAGCTGTATCCCGCGGTTTCGCCCACGCGAATGAATACATAAAGTATCCTATTTACGCAGAATATAATCTATCTGCGTGCCAAATTTCATTCGTTCGTTCACTAGTTTGTGCGTGAACGAATAACAAATAGCCATCTATAGAAATACCCCCACAAATATTTGCATTTATAATACGTAGTAGTAGAATTAAATATTAGAATCCCTATTTTTTTTATTTTCTATATTTCATTCAAGTAGGAATATATACTTAGATTATGAAGAAATGAAACCAGACGGGGTCAAATTAATGGTGGGTTGGTGGGATCAAAGATAAATCTTAAAAGGGCATCTCATATGCGTTAAAGTATATCATTTCAAGAGCTGATAGGTATCTAATAAAGAGCCAAGTTGCGTACGGAATGTTAAAGAAATTTTGATGAAAATTTACTCAAGCATCCGTTGAATGCATATTGAACTTACGCTCGACATTATTCCCAAATAAATAATAATGTTTGACAGCACTTGAACTTGAAAACTCTTAGATAAATTGTACCTGTATTCAGGGATGCCAGATGCATTTTTTTATTTTTACCTAAATGTTAAATATTTTTTCTTCAAATTGACACGATTTTCTTCACTTTTGCCCATTCGCAAATTTGTGTCAGTCAATCGTAGTACATTTTGCCATATAACCACAGATTAAATTACAAAAAAATACTTCGCTTTCTTTTACTTTTATTCTATGTTTTGCTACTTACATTGATATATTCTATTGTATTAAAAAAAAATTTGCAAGCTTATTTTTCTTTACTTCAAACATTTTTCTAAGAATTTAATTTCTCCAAAATTTTGCGAATGCAATTTTTTTATTCATTGTAACGAAAAAAATATTTATTTCTTTTTTATTTATTTTATTAAAGTAGATACAAGCTTACTTATGCATGGTACTTGCTAAACTGTGGAACAGTTTGTAAGTAAAGTGAAGTGGGCTAACTGAACTGCTTTTTGATTTTCACCTATCATCCCTCAATGGTGCCCCGCTAGTGTATTCCGTTAGTGTGGGCGGGGTTGCCATTCCATTATCATCCATTAAAAAAAATATCAGTTTGTTTGTCTTTCTATAAAAAAGGATTATTACCCGACAGACTTCTTCCAAATGGCCGCGCCACACAGTCACATGTGGTATGTACTGCCGGTCGAAGAATCTGGGCAGCTGGTGGAGGAAAGCCGCTATGCCGATGTAGATGAGGCATTTCATTACACGCGGCATCGTACACCTGTTGGAAAGAGAGACATTTTTTTATTGTCAATCGACTGCACTTATACAGAGATGAAAAAAAAATTAATAATAATGTGTTGTGGGTGATCATGGGCGGCAGATTTATTTACATTGGACATATTTGTCAGGGGGCGACTGTATAAAAGTCGTTTGCTTACCCAAGCAAACGACTTTTATACCACGTAGGTACCCACCTCTGTCCCATTCGTGTTTCTACCGTAAAGCAGTTGTGTCTGCATGGCTATCTGTGTTTCGGTTTGCAGGGTGGGATATGGCAGTGAATTTACGGGGTACAGAGGAATAATACCTGATTTCTCAGGAATGGCAACGCATGGGCGAAACAGTATACTTTGTTATGTCCATGGTACTGCTCCTGTCTATAGGCGACGGTTATCACTTTTCATGAGATCGGCCGTCAGCTTGTTTGCCATTCTAAGTTGCAAATAAAAAAATAAAGTAAAAGATATAATATACGATGACGGACTTATCCACACGTTATCACGTACTATATGTGGTGAGGAAGGACATAGGCTATTTTTTATCCTGGTCAGTGAAAATATCTCGGTCACGCGGACAAACTCGCGGGTAAACGGTAGTATAAAAATAAGATATCAGAATAAATCTCTGTGGTATATTGTTAAATAAATGTAATATTCCGGATGGATGGGTAGTTGACATTCAAAACAAAATGGCGATAATTTTAACCGCGAACCATTTTACTAAATACAGATTAAAAATGTAACAAGCCGTAATAAAATGTAATGACATTTTAATGGCCTTGTGGTGAGTGTTTCAAAATGTTAAAATTTAATACCAGCCATCTTTATTAGTAAATTAATTTTGGCAAGCGGTTAAAATTTTACATCATAAATGTTAAATTTAGTATTCTTAGAATGTTTCAATGGCGTCTCTTGGAAGATTCGCGAAGTATTTAATACCTGTAAAATTTCGAGGGAAATTAAACACAAGTTTGGTTATTTTTGTTATTATTGATATCTGGCCACGTGGTCCTGGCGTAGAATAGGCCACCCCTTCCTTTCCTGTGGGTGTCGCAAGAGGCGACTAAGGAAAGTTAATGATAGAGATATGGGTAGCAGTGTCCCTCTTAAAACATCTCTAACATGCCAAGCGTGGAAACTACTGGTAAAACTCCCTTTATGAGGAAGGCTTATGTTCAGCAGTGGATAGTTAATGGCTGAAATGATGATGATGATTGACATTTTACTTATTCTATTTTTAAAGTAAAGTACGAAGTAAAATTACATTTTACTTCGTATTTTAATTACTGTTCACAAACTGTACCCGAGGACTTTATTCGTGTACATTTCTTGTAATTGTTTGTATTTATAATAAGTTTACTACTGTAATCTTTTCGAGGAAACAATAAAGAGTATCTATTTATCTATCTGCATTAGGATAAAAGTATTTTGTGTTAATTGAAATGATCCATCTAAATATCATATTTCATTAAAATCCGTTCAGTAGCAATAATAAATCAAGTCCATATACACCAAAGTGCCTTCCATTAATTTTTGTGTTTCTATTTAGCTTCTTTCACTGTGTATTTACGTCTTGTAGAAGTAAATTATCCACTTATAAGTTGTTATAACTTTTCTAAATATTAAAAATATTTTTAACAATAACTGTGGAATAAAATATTTTAAATAATATTATATTATAATCGACAGAAATTTGTCAATAGAATCAATCAGAATTTGCTATATCTATTCATAATTCCCGCAAATTCAATCGACGCCATAATGCATATTTTTTTTTCATTTACTCATACTTTCTGAAAATGGCAACGGGAACGAAGCTCGTACAGCCTAGTCTCACGTGTAACTTTCTTTTTAATATTTATTTTTAAAACCGTTTTAAAAATGACGGCAGGGTACGTACAACACAAGGTTTTGACACTTACAGACGAGTAATAAACTGTTTTATTTCATAATATGGCCTAGAACAGTGTATTGTGTCATTTTATTGTTCCTTTTTGTGTCGGGGGGTGAATTAACTGTTCATGTACGAAGCCGCTACGCACAATTCGTACGAACAATCGTAAAACGAAACGCCAATAAACGGCCGTGGGTGCTTTATTTGGCTATATTTTTATTGATGTCGTAAACCATTTCAGCTTTCAATGTAAGACGTGAGCGTACAGATATACGTTGCGTTACATTTGCGACTACAACTCTGGTGGTAGGAAAGATCGTTAAAAAATTAAATTTATTTGAGGCTATCAGTAGTTCTTTTTTTTTTATTTGAAAATGGAACAATAACTGACTATAAACGAACTTGTGTTATCAGTATATACGCTGACGGGGAACGAGAGATGGATAATAGGCGAGGTAAAGTCAGGCCAGTTGACTCATTACCAGAGGGAGACTTTGTACAAAAGTCGATTGCTTGGGTACCTCTGTCCCATTCGTGTTTCAACCGTGAAGCAGTTGTGTTTGCATTGCTGTGTTTCGGTTTGAAGGGTGGGCTATGGCGTGAATTTACTGGGTACAGAGGAATAACACCTGAGTCCTCAGGAGTGGCAACGCATGGGGGGTATCATGGGCGAAACAGTATACTCTGTTATGTCCACGGTACTGCTCATGTCTATAGGTGACGGTTACCACTTTCCATCAGGTGGGTCGTCAGCTTGTTTGCCATTTTAAGTTGTATAAAAAAAAAGCTCATCGTAACGAATTCTTCAGGAACTATTCACGGTGACTTCTACGAGGTCGCGTGGCGACTGGATAGTGTATATTATTATATAAGTATGTCAAATTTCAGCAAAAGCGGACGTCAACAATAGGTTAAATATTTATTACTTAATATTATTAATATTTATTTAGTTATTTCATTTTATATCATAATTCGTTAAAATAACATATTTTAATAACAGTTCCTACCTTAAGCTCAAGGCTTATATCGCAGGAATCTTTTATCATTCAATACAAAACTTTTACATTAATATAGTCCCTAGTTCTTTTTTTTATACAACTTAGAATGACAAACAATCTGACGGTCCACCTGACATAACAGAGTCCCATGGACTATTCTGTTATGTCCATAGAGTACTATGAGTATACTGTTTTGCCCCTGACACCTCTCATGCGCTGACATTTCTGAGGACTCAAGTGTTATTCCTCTGTACCCAGTAAATTCACTGCCATATCCCACCCTTCAATCTGAAACAAAGCCACGCAAACATGGGATTGATGGCTAATATGAAAGGTTGTAGAACTTCTGGTAGTAATAGTGGTGGTTAATCTTCGAGTGTTAGCAGTCATATACATACTAATAGTAATAGAATTAAACAAAATAATTGTAATCAAACAATTTCAGTAATTAATTAAACAAAATATTAAATTAAATGAAACTAATTCAATAAAATATTCTTAAATATTACACATACACAATATAACAGTATTACTTAATTACCTCTTCATGTACAATCTTTGAGTATTAGCAGTCACATACTTATTAAATAATTAATTCTAATTAAGGAAAACAATTTTAACCAAGTAACTAGTACTATTTAAGATTTTATTTAATAAAAAAAAAACAACTGTAGTTGTGGCAAAAATAATTAATTTGATTTTAACATTAAACTATGGAATCGATTTGACAAAATTTTTATGGGACCAATTTGAAAGTATATCCTTTCATATATAAAAAAATCCAAACTGATTTGTGAATAATATAGTTATGGGGTAACAAATACGAAACAATACAACCGAATTGAGAACGCCTCTTTTTTAAAGTTGGTTAAAAGTGAATTGAAAATTCCGAACGGAAAGTTAAATAAAAGCTAGTAAAAAGAGGTGTCCAGTATCGTTGAGAACGATGATCTTTTCAAAGTCTTCAGATGGATTCTGTAAGTAATAATATTTAAAACCGAGTCAATTTAGGAAATCCCGAATCCCAAATTAGCCCGACCTAGAAATCAAACCTGGAATCTCATTTAGTTAGCAATATGATTAACCCACCCCACCGGAGCGCTCGTCAAATAAATTTAATACTCCAGATAGCGACCGTCCCGTTCAAATATTAGCCCAGCCGGGTACCGAACCCGCTACTTGCCACTGTTTAATTAGCCACCCGCGAAAACTGAGTTTCGACAGGAGAGACATCTGACAAATACATAGTCCAGAGACATGAAGTAATTTATTAAATAAAATTTTGTCATGAAAAGATTGCTTTTAGTAGCGCGCTATTATATTTATACAAGTGTATGTTATGATGGTTGGCAACTAAACAAAATTAGAGAAGGAATACTAGATGGCGCTGAATGGAGACTTGTAGTTTTAGTGGATTATTTTGTATTTAATAATAATTTGAAGAAAATTTTTGAAATTGGCGAGAGGTTTTTATTATTATGTATGAATATGAAGTGTCAGATAATAGGCGGTCTTAACCGGAAAGAATTATAATAAAATAAAACACACAATTGCAATGTTTCTTGCTAGTATGTGTTTTTTTTTTTCAAAGTTGTGGAATACAAGACAATAAAGACAAAATTATGATAAATTATTAAAATATCGGTAAAAAAAAATAAATAAAATCACTCGCCAATTTACAAATTTAGCCTCAAATTATCCTTAATTACAAAATAATCAATAAAAACCATAAGTCGTGATTTTAGTGCCATTTAGTGTTTCGTGTCCAATTTTGTTTCGTGATCAACGATCTTAACGACCTTAGTGGTCAAGCGGCTCGACATACCGCTTCACCCTTTGTTGGTCGCAGGTTTGATTCCTGCACAATACAAACATTTGTATTCGTGAGTATATCTGTTGTATATTGGTCTAGGTGTTTTCTATGTATATATATATATATATATATATATATATATATATATATATATATATATATATATATATATATATATATATGTATTTATAAAAAAGTATTTGAGTATATCTATCAGTTGTTTACTACCCATAGTACAAGCTTTACTTAGTTTGGAATTAGATGGCGCTGTTTAATATGTCTAATGATGTTCCC